GGGGGGGGGGGGGGGGGGGGGGGGGGGGGCGTCGGCTGGGGGGAAGACCCGCCGCCCTCCATCTACTTTTGTCGTGTGTTGTACATCTACCTTTGTCCTAGTCTCGTACGTCGCACGCGCTGACTACCAACGAGAACTATAGCGCGCTGGTATATTCACAGGATGGATTTACTGCGCTCAAACCAACCGCTTGCAGCAAGCGTACGTTCTTTGTTCCCCAAAGGCATGGGGTGCGTGCTCTGGAACCGGTAGATCACGGGATGCACGTCAACCCCTTCTCCCTCACCTCTTCAGGGAAAAGGCTAAACATCACAGCGGCAAGATCCAGACAGCTACGGCCCTCCTGGCAAGATAGAAAGCACCGTGAAATCATTTCAGGCGAGAGGGGGGTGCGGGGGGGGGCTCAGTTGATCTCAGTTGATGCTTGGCTTGGCATACGTCATTCGGCCATTGACATGGTGTGTGTCAGCATTCGTTTCCTGTGTTGCCGTTCCTACTCCAAGGCAGGCACCTCCGACAACGTGAACTCTTTCGAAATACACAACCTTGGGTGACACAGCAGTATGTAGCTGGTCCTTCGAGATCGTGGACCTTGTTTTGCTTTCGTAGGTAAAGACATGCATTTGACAACCACATCAACCCACCGCGCTTCACAGGTGCACGGGACACCGGAACGATGCCACACAACGCTTGCACAGGTCGAAACACCCGAAACATGCGCATAACACTTCCACACAGGCACACCATAACACGCGTAACAAGCACACAACACTTGCACAGGCACACCAAACAAATACACACACACACACACACACACACACACACACACACACACACACACACACAGCACGTCCAATCGGCAAGACGCGCGAAAAAGCGCCCAGACCACTTGCTGTCCGCGTGCAAACAAACGAGACGCGAGACGCAAGAAGCACCTTGTCCGCTAGATCGAGGGCAGCACCGGCCTTCACCAGGAACCCGACGGATCCCACGCCGCCGGCGCTGATGGCCAGGCTTAGCGGCGTGTCGCCGTTTTCTGTCTCCGCGTCGATCGGGACGCCCTTGTCCAGGAGCCGTCTCATTATCTGGCCGCCGTGAACCAACAGAGGAGAGAGAGAAAGGGATAGGGAGAGAGAGAGAGAAAGAGAGGGCAGCAGAAAGAGAGTAGAGAAGCAGAGAGGGAGAGAGAGAGAGAGACGATGAGAGACATACATGTGGGGGGTATCATGCACACCTTCTCCTCGCCCGAAATTTCCCGGCTCGATAGCGCCCCGTGCAAAGGTCCATGCCGGCACCCAACAACGACGCCCCCCCCCCCCCCCCC